TTGAATGGCGGTTACAATATGAAAGCACTCAACATGGTCGTAGAAAACGCTCCAGTTGATCCAGACTACATTACTGATATCCCACTAGTCGAGAAAGACTCCTCAGACCCTGTCCGATTTAGTTTGTTTCTACACTCTATGTACTATATACAATTAATTAAAATACTATAATAGTATAATTCTAAAAATAGTTAGAATGGTTTGTGGAGTAACACAACAGATGTTCTTGACGCTTCAATTGCGCCTTCTGTTCTGATGAACGACCCACGACCGCAACCAGAGAGGTACAGAGTCCTTTATGATTTCGATACAGTAGAAGATAACGAACTTTCGTTAAAAAAAGACGACATAGTACTTATCTACAAAAAGGGGTCGGATTGGTGGGAAGGAGAGGTGAATGGGCTTCGTGGTCTGGTGCCTTCCAATTTCCTTGTTGTTGTTTGATTTATGTTTACATTAAAGTCAGTACACCGTAATTGACTTTATTTATATGATTGAGAAGTCGTGGGTTTTGAAAGAAAACAGCGAATTGTTCTGAAAGTATTACACGTAAATAAATTAATCACACTTCTTTGGAAAAGAGTCGAGACAAATGTTAAAAACTGGTATATTATACCATAAAAGAACTATTACTTCTGTGGTCTTCTCTTTTGTGGCACATGGAGTGATTTCAATAAGTCAGTCTGACTTGTCTGTGTTTGAGTGTTTTGGAGACTTTGTTGTGGATATTGTTGGATACCCATTTGGCTTGTCTGCATATTAACATATTGAGGATTTTGATATAGATTTATAGGTTGGTATATCTGGCTATTCTGGTTGAATACGGGCGTATTGAATAGCATTGGATTGAACAACACACCTTGAGGGAGTACTTGTTGCTGTGTCTGTGTTGTTTCTTGGTACATTTGTGGCGCTTCAATAATTTTGGGACCATTTTTCTTGAGTTGAAGAGGTGCCTTCTTGACTCTCGGCTTACTCAAAGCTTCTTGTTGTTTTGTGTACATCGCAAGTAAACACGCGTCACACACTGTTCTCAAGGACCCACCTGCAACTAACGCAATTTTAGTCATTGCGCATACGCCGCAAACCTTCTTATTGCATTTCTCACAGATCTTCGAATTACACCCAAATCGATTCAAATATTTTCTACAGCAAGGACAGTCATCGTCGTTTTGTCGTAATTTAATAGTTTTGATTCTTTCCTTCTCTGAGACGAGTAACGGAGTGAGTGCGTCAAACGATTTTTTAGCGTTCGCCGCATCTAAAAAAGTGATTTCCAACGTTTCAATTTGGTCACTCTCTTGTTTTGGTTCTTTGAAGGAGACAACGACGATCTTGTCACCTTTCATCACAGCTTTTTCCAATTTGCCAACAGTGAACACTGCAAACAATTTGAGCTTCTCCTTCTCTGCGTTTGTGAACATCAAAATATCTGTTAAGAATACAAAAGTGAGTTTGTTGTGTTTGTCCTTGAAGAGTAAGTCGACTTGAGTTTCGAGGACAAATTTCCTCCACGGTCGAATAAAGAATTGTTGTTGTTCTTTAGGAAGTCGATTCCGTATTTTAAGTAAGTTGTGCCGTCTCTGTTCATCGGCTATCGACTCGTTCACACTCAACGCTAACTCTTTGATTTGGTCGAGCGCTACTTTGATCTCGTTTTTGCCTTCGGTGCCGTCGGGAGTGTTCTTCAACAAGTCTTCCAAGAGTAGCCGATACCTCGGAACCCGTTGGACGGGCATAATAAGAAAGGAGTTCAAGTCAAGTTTTGTACTCTCAGGACCTTCAATCGAATTTCTGAGCTGTTCCAAATAGTCTGCACACTTCTCGTCTTTATTCAGGTTCTCAACTTCGTTCAAAGCATACGCGTTATTCGCTACATACATGTTATACACTTTGAGGTATGGCTGCATCTTGATAAAAATTCTCCCAAGATCCTCGGAGAATCTGTTACTCTTTTTGGCCTCTGCGAAGTCTTTCATCATACTTGTTGACACCGAAATGATGGAGTCTAAAAAGCGGAATATCTCTTCAGAGTCGTCCAGCTCTACTATTGGTGGTATTCGAGTGGTCATATCATCGTAATAAATAATTTGGCAAGTCTGTAGTGATTTTAGGTATGACTCTTCTGTGTTATATATTTCGTTGAGGATGTGTTCTCTCTTGTTCATCACCTCTTTCTTCTCTTTTAAAGGTTTGAAATGGTTTTTCAAAGACTAATATATTTCAATCATTATTTAATTACATATTTTACTATATTCATTTTAAAATAGTTTAAACTATTTTTATTGTATTATTAACAAATTTACTATTATAATAATTCGTTTTCTAATTAGTTGTATATATTATAAATAATTTATATATAGTTTTTTTGTATAACAAAATCTGAAAATGTTTTTCTCAATCACCCTATGAAAGTACTGCACCTTTATTCAATTTTTTCTTGAGGACGAAAAAATGGTTGAATAAATATCCAGGGTTAGACCAAGTTTTTAGACGGAATTTTTGCTTTATTTATTTGTAGAAAATGTAACCATTTCCAATCAAGAACCCAAAACACCTGAACTGTGAATTCGAAATACTTGAACAAAAAAATGTTAAAACAATAATAAAAACAACTATTAATTACCAACAACTAAATAAGAACAAAAATAACACATTTTTGTTTTACCAAATACTGTAAACATTTATGCTTTTTTTTTAAATCGTGTTTTTAGGAGATAAATAAGCAGTTCTAACAAAGAATTATTCATTGTTACCAGATTATTTCAAATGCTAAAGTATTACTTGTAAAAAGCAATTGTTCATGTTAATCATAATTTTTGGTCAAAAAAAGATGTACTTAACTGGAAGAATGGAATTTTTACCCAAAAGAGCAAAAATGCTTGGATTATCTAAACAGAATCTTTTACTGACTGTGTTTTGTTTGGCCGAAATATTGCTGTTTATTTTACTGGGATTTTGCAAAGTTCAGTTCTAGTTAAAGAAGTAATAAAAGTGTTATAGTGTGAACCAATGACGAAAAACATTTTCGACTTCTGTATAAACCGGTTAAAAACCCACAAAAATGGTTGCTTCTGATACAAAAAAATCATGTGGTCAAAGCACGTGTTTTGCTTTTGTTTTTCAATGTTTGATTTGACTTGACTGAAGGTGCAGAGACACTTTTTGGACGTTTGTAAAAGAAGAAAGTAAAAACGAGTGAATAAAGTACACATTACAAAACAGTGAAAAGGGCTGGGGAGACTGCCGTGAATGCAGACATGGAGCAAATCTTTTTGGTCTTGCACGTGAAACGATTTTTGATATCATTAGCAGTCCTTCCGGGCAAGTGTTTTCTAATATAACTCCATTGATTCCCAACCTTTTTATGAAGCCTAAAGAGTATAGCGTCTTCGTGTGGCTTCCACGAAGTCTTATCGATTTTAGGGTCTAAATGGTTACACCATCGTTCGCGACATTGTTTTCGCGTTCGACTGGGGATACGGTCTGCAATCGACTGCCAATGCTTTGGCCCATAAATCGAGACGGCTTCTTCAAGAAGTCGGTCTTCTTCCAAAGTCCACGAATGGCTATACTTCTTCTTGAATGGCCCAGACATTTGTTTCGAAATGTCTTCAGAGGATTGGTCGATCGCATGTTGTGAAGAGTTTGTTGACATTATTTGCCAGTTTCTTTGCAAACCGCCTTAAATACCACTGGACAAAAATAAAACACTTGAATTCTTTTTCGTGACAACTTTTTTTTTCAAAAGATGCTTAGAAAAAAAGTTGAATAAAGATTCACAGAAAGTTCAGACTGTTTTATGGGAAGTGTGTACTATATAGTATAGTATTTTTATTATATTTTTACTATACACTATAAAAAACACATTACTAGTTTTTTGTATTTCAGTAAAATGGGAAGATGGTTATTCTATTTTGAACGAATTAAAAACGGATTTGATTGGTTCGATAATATCGTTTTTTTTTCGTTGGAAATTTATAACACGGAATGAACAAAGACTCGGGATTATTGGCATTAACATACACCCGAAATTGTGCGACGTGTCTCACCAGTATCCGTGTTTTCTCGCCCAAAAGACCGTGCACCTTTGTTCAAGTTTGTTATTTGTGCCAAATCGGTTGGGCAGTTTTGCTGACAATTCCATTTTTGAATTGGCCGTTTTGGGAGAAGGTGCGAGATAAACGCGTAAATTAACGGGCAATTATACAGTTTCTTCGGTCGAACGTTCTGCGGTGCACAAAAAACAACATTTTTTAAAATTTTCCCATTTTGTAATACCAGAGCCTTGTTTTCATTCGACGGTATTTTTGGGCGGTTTTTTTCTTCATTTATTTTGTTCTTTTATTATTACCAATTAATAATAAAAGTGTTAAAATTTTATTATATGACTGTCATTTCAAACCCAAAATGAAATGCTTCCCAAAAAACACGTGTTGGCTCCAATGTGAAAAAAATGTCGCTTGAAATAATCGACAAATAAATTCAGAAGAAAAGAACACCAGCAAAGCAGGCGCTTTATAACCAAAAACAAGTAAAAATGTGAATTGCTGTGTTTTTCCCGAATACTCTATATGCTATGGGCCGTGAAAGCTACGGAACGAAACAAATTAAATTCCGCATAAAATGCCACGAATTGGAATGAATGGATGTCTATTTTAGAAAAAATTATTAAAAAAGACATGTACAAACAACAAAAAACTTTTGGTATTTTTGGACTCGAATATAATTTCGCATGGAATCATAGTTTTTTCAACCAGTTTGAAGGGACTCAGTTCTCTTTATGTTCTGTTCGCACAGAGTTTTTGGTAGAGAGTAAAAGATATGGAGAAAATATCATGATTTTATAAGAGTATTAAATCATTTTTCTCTATTTGGTTAAAAAGGAACTTACATAATTTCATTCATGGTTGTTTTTATATAGATTTTATATTTTGTTTAACGAGGGGTGCCTTTATCAGTTTAAATTAAAAATTTAGTTCATCATTTTTAGCCATATCATTTTATAATACAGAACAAAGTTTGTAATTTTTATTTAGAGATTTATATTTATTGTTAATTAACAAGAACAAGTCTGGTTAAAAAACATATATGTTTGGTTTTTATTGTGAAGTTGTATTAAATTTTGAATCATTTACAATGACAATCAAAAATCATACATTTTAACAACTCTCATTATTATATTTAAAAAGATATGAATAATAGTAATGATATTTGTAAAAATTTATTTCAAAACAATTATTCGGGCTAACACAACGAATAACTTGAAGTGACGTTTTGTTAAATTTGTTCATTGAAACGATTTCAACGGTGTAATGTAGATAAAGGAATTAAACAAATTAAAATGATAATTATTTGTATATGTTATAATCGTTATTTAAATAAAGTTAATCAATTGATAATACTAAATATTGTAATGAAAAAACAATAGTTTGTTATTTGACAATTTTTGCAAGTTTCAAAAATTGTCAATTTGTTAATATTTCATGTATAGAAATTTAAAAAAATAATTATACTATTGCTTTTAATATTTCATAATTTGTTCGCAATAAAAAAATAAATCACGTTTGGTCAATTCTTATACAAACGAAAATTCGTAAATTGATAATATTTTTAAATACAATTTATAGAAAAAAGTGATACATTAAACAAGATATACACTTTAAATGTTATGTAATATATGATATACATAAACGATTAAATAGAAAAGGAAAGTAAAACAATATTTTTTAAGTGTTTCAACAAGTTGTTTTTTGATATTTTTTTGATATTTTTTGATATCAACAGTTAGAGAACATTTTCAAACAAACAATTATATTAAAAATCATTCAATTTTCATTAATTTAAATTCAAATTATGATTGTGATTATAAAAAATATTATAATTTTTATAATTGTAAATTTAAATATTCTTTTTATTTCATTAATAACAATAATCATTCAAATATAATTAAAAATAGTTAGTTTATTTTTTATCATTGTAATTGTATTAATTATAAATAATTTTTTTAGGAGAAGAAATCGATTATGCTTTACTCTTGTAAAAATTAAAGAGTCTACATAGCGCCGAGGAGTCATCTTTTATAACCCACATCTTTGCCCCTGGTATTACCAGGTTTTATCCAAACCAATATTAAATAGCGGTCCTGTGCTATTCAAAATGGCAAGAATCTGTTTTGATGATCGAATGGAGAGACAATCTGACCCTCTAAGTTCAGAGCGTTTCCTTCAAAGCCTTTGGAAACACAGAGTTGGGACTTGCTGGAACGGCGAAGATGCGAGGTGACAAAGCTCGACTTACTCTTCCTAGTATATTGCCTTTGGGGGTTAACATACCCTATCCAACCACCAGTATAACTTCCGGTGGGAAATCTCGCTTATCGGAGGCATCGATAGCTACTTTTGACGACTCACACTTTGTGGTGTCTCCCTTGTGTAGGGTTGATCTCATTGTATTAATTATAAATTAATAGCATATAGTCAACACAATTATATTTGTTTAAATAAAGGGATTATCAAAAGTAAAAAAAAACATGAACTTGAATTATAGATGTACTTTTTGGTTGTATTAAGAGCAGAAAAACCAATTACAGTTAGACAAGTTTGCCTTAAATGGAATAGTTTGACTTAAATAGTTCACTTTAATGGTTTAAAAACTAATTATAATAGTAAACAGTAAGTTAAACTAGAAAAAAATATAATGGTTAAATAAAATAATATTTAAATTACTATTAATTACATCGTTTTGTGTAACAGTCGAATCTTGAAAAATAAAACCACGACACATGTTAAGTATTGTTTTGTATATTTCTACGTGTTTGTTTCGTTGAGTTCAAACACGTCAAACATTTTCTACCTCATTCGGAAACGTTTGTGTTACTTTATTTTTATTGCAAATACAATAAATTAGCAGTATCTCCTATCGCGACGGGGAAATACTGCTTTTAACTTAACCAAATAATAATATCTATAAAAACGAATTCAACGAAAGGAAATACTGCCAAACCTCCCAACAGTGGGATTCATTAAGAATCTCCGCTTGATTTTGGCAAATGAAACGTGGACCCACTCTTTAAAGAGCATGTCTATCTTGTTTTTGGTTTGTTCTTAAGAAATGCTCAAATAATAGAGAACAACAAAAATAATAATTACACACTCTAGGGAAATTAGACTGTATTTATAATTGAATTTGAAATGTTATGGTTACTTTATTTGACAAATTTTGATAAAACTTTATTGTTTGTGATTACATTAAAATGTTGGTGATGATCATGATCATGTGATAATTTATTGGTATCTTTACTTGTTTATAGCTTTCTTATTCTTTATATAGTGTGTTTAAGTTTTTGACTTGCTTTTTATTATTCAATTTTTTATATAAACTTGATTATAAAAAAGCAATTTATTAGTTCAGGTTATAGTTCGAAAAATATTATAATTGAACTATAATTTTTACCATTTAACTCAAACTTGTCATACTGTAAACTCTTAAAAAATAGATCATGTAGTACTATGAATATCTGATAATATTTCTATAACACAAATAAATAACAAATATATTATAATCTATAGTTTCTAATATTAAACACTTAAAAAATAAAATTTAAAGGAAATGTGTAAGTTAAAATAATTATTAATTATTTAACTATTTCATTTGTTTGTCAAAATATTTTTATATATATATTTAATATATTTAATATATAGATTATAATTTACAACTACAAATAATAAATTCAATGGTTCAGATCGAGTCAGTTTATTTAATGAAAGTAGCCCTTCATTTTGAAACATACTCCGACGTATACTCGTTTATTCAAGTTTCCAAATCGTGTTTAGAGTCTGTCAAAATGCTTCACATCAATCCTTGGTTCATATCCATTCAAAACATTAAGACTTTCTTTTACCACTTCCACACAGAGACTATTAACTGCTTGTACTTCGACTTTTTTGATGAGACGATATTCTCGATGGTCTCATGCATCCGTTGTCCAAATTTCAACAGTTTTGTGAAGTCAAAAGAAGATCAACTTTTGCCTTTACTGAGTAAAATATATTATATAGGACTCTATAACGATGACAAACAAAAGCTTGAACCCACTTGCAATTTTTTTATACAAAATGCAAAACGAATTAATTCACTTCGAAAGGTCAGAGGAGAACTCAACCCCGTTGTCAAATTTTTCGAGAGTTACACATCAAAGGGAAACGACTTATTTGCACGATTCCCGTATACCATTGAAGTGCTTTCTGAGCCGAAAATGTCGCAATTTACTGAAGTGAGTCTTACGCAACAACTGATGAAGTACATCCCACAAAATGGAATCACAAAAATCATCTTCATAGCCAACGAACATCGGACTAAACAGGAAGACTTAAGGTTCTTTGAAGGTGTAGATTATCACTACGATGCGATGGTTAAAGATCAATGTGATTATAAGGGGGATGCTGTAATCAACCCAGCGGGTTTAATGACAATTAAAAATACGACTGATTGTAAGAAGTTCAATGGAATTATTGAAAAGTGTTTTGCCACACAGGTCAGTGTTTCGTTTTCGGAGGGGAACACATTGGAGAGGGTGTTGGCTAATGAAAAACAAGACGTCTGGAACGTCCCAAAGTGCGTGGAAAATTTGTCGTTGAAATTGAACAACATAAATGAAGAACATAAGATTCATATTCCGATTTTATTCGACTCAGTACAAGAGTTTAACTTGGATAGCTCTGCAATGTTCGATGTTCATGACACGTTTTCGAATATCGAAGAGTTGATGTTGGAGAATGTTCTGAGTGTGACTCTTAAAATGACAGATGCAAAGAACTTGAAAAGAGTCTGTCTTGAGAATTGTACTGACGTTGACATCATTTCAAAATATGGAATTACAGAAAAGGTGATGATTGAGACATGCTCGAAAATACGAGTCAATGCGAGTATAGACCACATCGCCAATTTTTTGGTCATGAGAACGACTCAGTGTGTATTCAGAGCAACGGTCTTTGATAAGACGTTTGTTCAAATTGAAGACTCCACTGATATGTTTTTTGAACAGAAGTTTGGTGATGAGAAAAGTAAAATGTGTCCTTTTGGATTTTGTAATATAAGTCTGGAGAAGTTTGAAAAACTTGTGTCGACTGTTGTATATTACCCATCACACACTTTTATGAGGATGGTCGACTTAATCGAGCCGGAGAAATATTTCTGTTTGTTCGTTTGCAATTGAGTTGGTTTGATACCCAAGAAATTTGTGTTGATAGAAACAAGTAAAATGAAAGTGTAACAAAAAGGGATGAAAAAGCTCTTCATGGATTGTCCACACATTTTAGTGCAAAATGATGTTGTGAAGAGGATGAAGAGTGTTGATGGGTGGTTGATCAATGTGATGTACTCGACCGACTTTTGCAATGTGGACAATCGCGACCAGAAAATGATCTTTTTGGAAAATGACAATTGGGTTAAGTGTAAAGAAGCGATCCGTTATTTTGAAGTTACTGTGGAGCACATGAGTGTGATGTCTGTTGGGTTGGTTAATATCAGCACATTTGTGTATCAAGAGGATGTTTGTAACAACTTCATTTAAATTCAAATAGATAATTTTATCTCTCTTATAACGGGATTGTTGTATTTATATATTTATAGTAATACAATTGAGTTAAGTCAATTTAAAGATTCTTATTAGTAGCAACATTGTGGGTGGGTGAAAGGGTCAATTGGATACTTTTCAGATGAAGGAAAAATCTTTTTTGAGAGTTGTGATGAAGTGGGACACATGTCCCCATATGGAAGAAAAGAGGGGCAAAAGGATGTAATAGGGTGTGGGTATTACCCAAAGACTCGTAGAGTTTTCACAAA